CAGCTCAGGACAGGGCCTCCTGTCCTCGCGGCCACCAGACACAAGGACAGGCCGACAAAGGCAGGCTGGGGCACCCTGAGGACCCCTTTCTGAGCCAAGGGGGGCCCTGACCCCACTCGCCTGCCTGCAGCACCCGGGGGAGCAGGGTCGCGTGGACATGCGTGTGCTCTGCTCGGTGGGGAAGGCGCCGATGCCCACGCGTGTGGTGTAGGCCTTCACCACGCCGTACACGTCGCCCACGTTCTGGGGCGGGATGCCCAGCCCCGTGCACACGCCGCCCACCGTGCAGTTGGAGGACGTCACAAAGGGGTAGGTCCCTGCAAGACAGCCGGTCAGGGACCCCCACAGATCACCCCTACCCAGGGGCCCTCCGGGCGGAGGGCAGTGGTGGTAAGCCCCCCGCACAGCCCCTCAGTGGGGTCTCGGGAACCGTCTTGGGGGAGTGGCCCCCACAGGGTCTGGGGGTCAGGAGGGGGAGGTCGCTCTGCAGCAGGTGCCTCTGCGCTGGGAGCCCCGGGGGCGGGGAGGGAGGTTCAGTCGGGGCGCGGCCCTAACCACCCCCACCACGTCCTGGTCTCTTGGGCCCTCGGCCTCTCATCTCCAGCCGCCTCCCCCTCTCGGCTAAGTTAGGGGGAGGGCACGGGGGTCATGTTCAGGCAGGATGAAGGCCACGCCCTGTCCCCCCAGACACGACAGCGCGGTGTGTTGGGGCCGCGGGGCCGCACCGAAGTCGATGTCCAGCAGCGCGGCGTTGGCGCCTTCCACCAGGATCTTCTTGGGGGGGCCATGCAGCGCCTCGTACATGAAGTACACGCCGTCGCGGACCATGGGCCGGATCCTCTCGGCAAAGCCCTGCACGGGGTGGGGTGGGGGGACGCGGCTGTGGGGCCCGGGCCACCCCCAGCTCCCAGCTCTCCCACTGCCTGGCTCACCCCGACAGCCCCCCACCCTGGCCGGGGGGCCTCAGTGACCATGGGGGGAGGTGCATCCACAGTTCATCCGCTGGAGCCCGACCCCCAGGACCTCAGGATGGGGCTGTGCTGGGGTGATTAAAGCTCAAGTGAGGTCCCAGGGGGGCCCTAATCCAGCGGAACCGGGTCCCTACGCTCTCCGGTCTGTCCTCATTTGGCCCAGACGCAGCGGGAGGAGCGGGATCCCAGCTGGAAACTTCCAGAAGGGCTTTGTGCTAACACCTTCCTGCCCCCACCCCCGCCCTCTCAGAGTGAGCAGGGGGGCCACTGCCCCTCCTGCCTCGGCTGGGACAGTGCCACCTCCCGCCCAGCACGTCCTGGGCAGGTCCCCAGAGAGCACGTGGGCCCAGCCCTGG